ACATAGCCAAGTCATATCACCAGCAAATCCCCATTAGCCTTTGAATCATCCAGCAGGCAGAAAGAAAAACCTACAAGGATGTGAGAGACTATTCTGTCTGGGCAGATAGAAAGGGATAAAAAGGATTCTATAGAAACAAACACAAGAGTTGATTATTTACAGGACCTAACCATTCCTAGATAGAAGACAAAGGTTTTTGTTATTTAGTCTATTTTTTTTCCTTCAAGAGTTTAAAGAAAAGAAAATCCTGGGTCCTTAATGGTATTTGCTTGGTATCTCATGGATACCACTTTTAAAATCATTTTTAATATTTAGACATATTTTCCTGTCCATAGGTTATGCTCCTAATTCTTCATCAGATGTCCACTAGCTAGGGTGCGGTGTCAGGTATCTATTGTTGTATAAAAAACTGTGCCTAAATCTCGTGTCTTAAAATCACCTCTTTGTATTTGTTCATGGTCTGCAGTTTGAACTGAGTTCAGCTGTTGGTTTTCCTCCTGGTCTCACCTGGGGTCACTCATGCTGCTGCAGTTATCTGGGGTATTGACTGAGGCTAGATGGTTCAGGATGACCCCACTTATATGTCCAGTGGTTAGCTGGGGCTGTTGACTGGGACACCTCGGTTCTTTACTTGGCCTCTTCTGCAGTATGACTCCAGCCTTCATTCCATGCTAAGATTCAAGAAGTCAAGCCCCATTGAGGAAGCACTTGTCAAGCTTCTTTCAGCTTCATGATTGATGGGCCAAGCAAGTCGCATGGCCAAGATCAAGAGTGAAGATACAAAGAGATTATGTAAGGAACAGATACTCAAAGACATGATTCACTGGGGACCATTATTGCAACTCTCTACTACAGGCATAAAGAGAGGTGTATTATTAATGGGTTTGGCCTTTGATTTGCTTCAACTAACTCATTACATTCTTTCATGATTTTGCTAACCCCTTTGTAATGAGGTGCTGGCCAATCCTTGGGAGTATTTCTCAACCTAGGTCCTCTAAACATCTGTATCTGAGAGTTGGCAAACTTTTTCCTCTGAAGGGACAGATAATAACTATTTTGGGCTTCATGAGCTACAGAATCTGTGGCAACTACTCACCTTTGCTGTTGAAGTGTGGAAGCAGCCATTGGTAATATGTAAGTGAATAAGCATGGCTGTGTTCCAATAAAACTTTATTTACAAAAACAGAAAATGGGCCAGATTCAGCCTGTGGACCATGGTTTGTCAATTCTTGATCATATCACAATTTTCTAGACTGTCAAAAAATTTATTACACTAAAGTATTGCTATTTCTCAAACTTGAAAATTAAATGTCATCTTTATAGAATCTGATTTCATCAAGGTTGATGCATAAGATTTTTCACCTAATTGTTTAAAATCACAAACAAGTCCATAAAACATTTTCCAAGTATCTTTTAAAGAGTCTTAGGAAAAGCTGTGTTCATAGAGTAAAATGTAATTAGTTGGTTCAGTGTGAGTTGGAGAGGCAATGTAAGTGTAGAAAGCACAAACTTTGAGCTAGACTGCCTGGCTTTATCACTAACTAGTTGTGTGACCATAAACAATTCACTTAACCTCTTTTTTTAGTTTGATTATCTAAAAATAGGGATGGCAATCTTCCCATGTCACAGGATTATTAGGAGGATCAAATGAGTTCACATAAAATATTTAGAATGGTCCCTAGATCACAGTAAATGTTCAATTAAAATGGTGAAACAAACATCAAAATGTCACAAAACTCTAACTCCCTTTAGTGATAATTTTGAATGAGAATGGTTGTATTACAGAGTTTCCAGGTTCACAGTGTTGTGGTCTAATTCACGAACTTTTAATCAAAAAATTACTATAAATTAGTTTTGATCTGAAGACTTTCAAGCCTACTGATTTGACTAGCAAATCACAAAGCAGTGGCAATGTAGTTAGATTTGGTAGCTTGCCACAGCGGATGTGAACATATGAAACATATGAACATGTGAACAGATAAACATATGAAACATTATTAGATACCAGAAAGAGGATATAGGTATACAAGACACTTCCAGATTTGTATGTAAAACCTTAGAAAAATATAGCTTCTTCTAAAAAACTTCAGTTACCTAGTAGTAGTCTCACAACCAGCCTCTGGTGGCTAGGAATTGTCTATGTATTATTTTCCTTTGTGTGACAAGATGCCGTTGCTATGCGTATTGCCAGACATGTGACCCCCAGTTCTATCAAAACAGTGTAAGACCATCCTCGCTGCTGCAGCTGCTGAATCAGAAGTTGCTAGAGTGGCTGGACAATGCTTTGTTTTGCTACGTCATGTATAGCTGTGCCTGAGTATGTGTCACCACGGCTCACAGTGACCTGCATTTGACCCCATGGTCAGCATTTCCTCAGTGAATTGTTGTGACTCTGTGATATTTGTCTTCGCTTCATTGATTTGGGTTTGCAATCAGTATCAGTAGTACTTATGAGGCTCCGTGGTCAATATTTGGGTATACGGACACAGGTAGCCTCATGGCTGTTCTAACAGTCTTTTCTAGGGCGGGATTTACTGAATCAAAGCTGTTTTCACATTTTACTGTATAATGGTTTTATATTGTCGTTCAGAACAAGGAGAGTGAAATGTCTATCATGGGCCAGGTGCTATTAAAGCTGCTGTTAAATTCTCTTCTCAATCAGCAATCATAGTTTAAGTAAAAGCCTTGAAGAAAAATATCCTGTGGCTGATGTGTGATGATCTGGCTGGTATCTGTGGAAGACGACTGACCTGACAGGGGACATGGTTAGTTGGATAGGATGAGTGGCCACTCATAAAGAAAAACAGAGGGCAAAATCCACTCTGCTGTGCAGAGGAATTGGGACACTCCACTCCAGGGAACCTGGCCCCAAGGCTGGTGATCCCAAGCCAGCAGCACACGCACTGCAGCAGGGAATCCATCTTCACAGCACACTGTGACGATAAGCGGGGCAGTGGGCTGAGAATGCAGCCTTCGGCCTCCTCCCGGAGTGGCTCTGCTGACCAGTCCTGCACCCCACAGTGACCTGCATGTAGGAAGCACAAGACTGCAGTTCATGTCATAGGTCCCAAGAATTCTTTACATGTCTCTCCCCGCCCTCCACTTTTTCTTTCTTGAGACAGTTTCACTCTGTCACCCAGGCTGGAGTGCAGTGGAACAATCAATCTTGACTCACTGCAACCTCTGCCTCTTGGGTTCAAGTGATTCTTGTGCCTCAGCCTCCCAGTGTTGGGATTACAGGTATGTGCCACTGCGCCTGGCTTCCACTCTCTATTTTGGAATTCAAGGAAAGGTAAGGTAAGGGTAAGGCTTGAGTCTCAGGAATCCAGCTTTGGGGACATTACGGGGGAAAAAAAACCCTAAGAATAATGAAGGGCGATTTTCACCAATGTTACATCTTTGGAACCATTGTTACATTTTACTGTGACTTCTTTTGGCCAGAACACACCTTTGAAGCTCATTTTAAGATTTTCTTGGGCGTCTGGAGCTTCAAGACTTGGCCAATTTTGCTGCATTTCACGTGTTACAGACTTCCATTTATTTTCTCTTTAGGAAGTCATGCCCAATGGCATCTCTTTATAGGCTATTTGACTATTTCTTGCTTCTTATGGTCTTATTCATTGGTCCTCAAACTTCAGCGTGCATCAGAATCACCTAGAGGGCTTGTTACAACATAGACTGCAGGGTCCAGCCTGAGTTTGATTCAGTAGGTCTTGGCTAGGGTCCAAAAGTTTGCATTTTCATCAAGTTTCCAGGTTATGGCGATGAGTTGGTGTAGAGACCAGATTTTGCAAATCACTGATTTTATAGAAAGAGGAAAACAATAATCTTATGGTGGTCTGGCAGACTGTGCTGCATGGAAGTTCTATGATAGTTTATCTCTAATTGCAAAGTTCCCCTTTAGGCTTTCTTTCCACCAGATGTGTGCCTTCCATCCATATATGCTGGTCTGTTCTTCACTATATAAAAGGGACTCTGTTCCCTTTAAAACACACTTAACTAGATTTAAACTTTCTTTAGAGACCCCAATTCTTTTTTCTTTTTGAGCCTGGGTCTCGCTTTGTCGCCTAGAAAACAAAAGCTCACTGTAGCCTCAAACCTCCCAGGCTCAAGCAATCCTCCCACCTCAGCCTCCCAAAAGTAGCTGGGTCTACAGGCACGTACCACCATACCTGGCTAATTGTTTTTTAATTTTTTGTAGAGACTCAGTCTCGCTCTGTTGCCCGGGCTGGTCTCAAACTTCTAGGCTCAAGAGATCTTCCTTGCCTCAGCCTCCCAAAGTGCTTACAGGTGTGAGCCACTGCACTTGTCCTAGACTCCAATTCTTAAAATGAGAGCTTAAAAAAAAATTTCTGTTAACACTTCCACCTAAAGCCGCACATGGTCCCCATTTATACTTTAGTCAAATACAACTTTTGCTATAACTTAGCATCTGCACATATTTTTTTCTTCTATCATTAAAAGTAAACTACACAATAGTCTTCTGGTGTTGACAAGATTACAACACAAGCTAATTTCATATTTAATTTTGTTCAGTTTTAAGGTTTAAAGTGATCATTCATCCCGAAAATTACACTGTAAAAAAGTGCTTGTGGTTGAGTTTGGGAAATACAGATCTACATGAAATGTGGAGCAACTTAGATGAGCAATAAAAGGATCAAAGAGGTTTAACTACAACTCCATTTTCCTCAACCCCTCTGAAGATCCTGACGCTCTGGAATGCGTTGGCTATACCTTGCTCCCAGTCAGCTGGGAGTATTACTGAAGTTATAGTAAAAACAATTTATATCAGGAGACTGACACAAAAGCAAATCCTTTCAAAGACTAGGAAGGTTTATTTCCCTTAAATCTTTATCTTCCTCCCACTCATTTTTTTCTAGAAGTGAGATAAATTAATCTAGATTAAAAGTTTGAGTCAATCAAGCTTCTGGTATATTGTAGAGATGACTACAAAAGGAAAAGTGATAATTGAGGGAGAAAAATGCTGCTGACACATTAGCTGTAGCACAATTCAAGTTTATTCCATTTGTTCTTGCAACACAAAACTTAAACACAATATTATTTAGCATTCGGATGTACATGAACTAGGATACTTATGAGAAACCCAATTGCGTCAAAAGTATGACATTGTGGAAAAAATGAACTCAAATATATCAAAATACACAAAGCACTAGTCTTCCTCCATTACTGCTTAGAAAGATATGATTGTTTCTCCATTTACAAAATAGAATCAGGACAATTTAATTTTTTTATATTTTGCATGCAAAACACTGCAATTGCTTATTTATGTAGGAGGGCACTCTCACCAGCTTCTTCTATACACAATTGAGTATACAATATTGCATGGAAGAAAACAGCAGCTCAACTGAAAGTTTAGAAAAAGAATCAAATAGATACATATAGCTTTAAAACCCATTACTTGGGAAAATAAATCAATGAATAAAAGGTCTACTTGTTTGCAGCTTCCACACACTGCACCTACCTACTACCTCTCCTCCATGCTTAACTGGGTTTAAAAAGGTGAGCTATGCGTAGAAGAACTACTTGGGATATTCAAGTGCTGTATTTGAACTATAAGCCTATAGATACCAGTCTGAAGCTGCAAGGGAGAACTTGTTAGTACACTACTATAAACAGGTAAACTACCTGTTTGTACTTGATATAGTGCATATGAAATGACTGATTTAATACAAAACGACAGAACATGCAAACTTTTTTTCTGAGATGTTAAGTATTACTTCAGTGGAGAACAAAACTTACTTAACTTTTTGCTAATGCATGTAGTACCAAAAAGCAAACATGGTTCCAGCTTCTTTTACTCAAAATATGAACATTAAGTGTTGTGAATTTGTCTGCCAAGTGGCTCAGAAATACATTATAAATAACCTAGTTAAAAAAAGAAACTGTGAACCATCTTGGTCAGTCTATTCTATTCTATGTTTATATGTTATTTTCTCAAGCAATCGCTTCATAATTATGGGGTTTACAAAAATGCTGAGAAAGAAGAGGGAAGGCGAAATAGCCTCTACTGCATTACAAGGAACATCAGGATAAACTGTACAAAGAATCACATGGTTTCCATACCATGACTGTAGAAAGCAGACCAGGTTTAGGAATGATAGGACAGTGCACTCTCTGCAATAGCCAACTACAACAAAACACTTTGAAAGCACTGGTGAAAATTATGTAAAGAGAAAAATTCAAGCCTTTAAATAGCATTATGTCAAGAGGTGAAAACAAAGGTATCAAAACACCCTGTTGCACTATGTTGATAGTTATAGACTGATAGAGTGCCCTCCATTTTTCAATGAGGATGTCTCCATATTTTATTTCAGTGATGTAATAAAGTACTGATTACTGACTTTTAACCCAACTCCTAATAGGCTGCATTAAGACAGCAAAATTAGCCAAATACAATGAAGTATTTAAACCACTACTTTGTGATTGTTTTCTCGGATGTAGGAAAATTACAGGGTTAGGCTAGTTGTAAGTGAAAAAGCCACAGGATTAAAAAAAGGGCTCATGGGGAAAAATACACACACACACCCATACACACCTACACACCCACCCACACACCCACATGCCAACCAACCAATCAGCAACTCATCAGTAAAACTTGTTATTAACCAGGGTGACTGTTCTTGATAATAGTTTAACCCTGCTGCAGAGTGCTATGTTGCCTTTAAAATCAATTATTATCCACAGTCTGAATATCAGGCCCTAACCCACCCTCCCCTCTCTCAAAATTTGAGGTACATTCAATTATTGCCATGACTTGGCTAAGAAAAAACTCTTAATATTTTTAGTAAGCTTATATGGATGGCATGTCAAAGGAATCAATATTTCAAATGCAAGATATAAAATTTAAGCTTATATATGTTAGTTAGCTGTACTGCTCATGAAATAAATATTTGGAAATTTGTGTAAATATGTGCAGGTCATAAGAACACCATTTTAGGGCACTGTATTCTAAGAACAGAGAATACATTTTGAAGTCATCACACTTTATGCGATTCATAAAAGCAACAAAAAATATGCAGGTGGGTTGGCATATGTTCAGCAGAAGCCTATCAACAACTCTGGGAAACGTGGTTACAAGTGTATTTTTGAAGGGATGGGGCTAACTTTGTCCAAACAGTAAATCTCACCCCAGTGATAGCTTTGGTGCAATAAGTAATCAGCATCCAAGATGGGTCTGAGAGAGGCATTCTAAAGAATGTTCTTTAATTCTTCACACATAACTGAGGTCAATCCATTCAAACAGCTAATAAAGAAAATCCATAGGTACTAAGATAACTGTTCTCTCTTTATATGATACTAACAGGCTTATGGCTATGATTCTAATTTTAAATCCCCTTTTACTACCAGCAGGAGTTTGAAAGTGTTTCAATGCTATATAAATGTAAGAATCTAGAGGAGAAAAAAATATGCATACTGGAATGGTTTCTCCTTTAGACTTCCAAAACTTAAGATTTTATAAATAAAACTAGTCAGCTGTATCTAAAGAGACATGAAATCCATGTGAAAGGGGAGAGAAAATCCAAAGTTCAGTCATCC